CTGTAAAATCCTGATGCTAGTGACACATCAATGTATCTGCCAGACCAATTAAACGACAGAATGTTTTATTTTGAGATTATCTGCATTGACTGAAAACGGCATGGTGGATTTACAGAAGTAGTAGTTCCCTTTTTGTCTGTTCCAAAACCTGCCAACAGCTTTGTCAATGGATAATAAACATTTTCTGAACAAATGTTTGTAGTTAATGTTAATGTTAAGTAAATATTGTGCAACATTTTGCATTTAATTTCAACATGTCTCATTTTCCATCATAAAAGTTTATTACGCATAAACATTGATGTTATATCAGCCATCTGCCACTCTTCTCTCTAGATACTGGTATCAGCATCAGATCAGTTTAATTGTTTGGCTTCCTAAATAGCTCTTAACTAAATACAACAGGTTGTGTGATGCTGAGAAAGGATTACAGAGTAAAGATAGTTTAACATACAGATGCAAAGAATTTCTCATTTCTACAGTAAACAATGTGCCAACGAACTTACCAGTTTGCTGCATTTGAATTGGGGCACATTGTTATGTGCTTTACATGTTGTGATGTCACTCGCTGTGTTAAATGAGCTCTGTCCTTTTTGCAATAATATTTAACTTTCTATATTCCACTTTACTTGATATTTCATTTTATGTTTCTTTTATCCTCCTATTTTAATTTCTGATCTTAGTTGATTAGACTTCAGATTATTGTATTACTGACTGATGCTTATGTCAAATTTCCAAATATCAGTCCGCTAATCAGCATGTTATATCAGTGTACAGCTTATTGTTACACACAGGGGAGCTAATAAATTGAGATGTTGTCAGTAACATGAGGGTGAAACTGTGAGAATGAGGGGTGTGAGAGCGAGAGGATGTCTGCGGGTTTAACTGAAGCGTGGATAATCATTTGTCATTATTGCAGTTAGTGTTGGAGGTTGTGTGTGTGTAGGTGGGAGTGACTCACAGTTTGTGTGTGTGTGTGTATGTGAGGTAATGATAAAGTGCCGAGATGCAGTATTTTTAACTCCCACTCATGATTCAGTGTTTTCATTCGCCTTTTGCATTAACATGAATTTCATGCATGTTTCATAATGATGTTGTTGTTTTTTTCATTAATGTGAAAAAAACACATTAATAACACGTCTGTAGCTCAAAATTATAAATCCTAACAAAAAACGTGATTACAGTGGTGTAAGTCACTTCTAGAAATCTTCTTTTGCTTTTGTTTTGTCACTTTGTCTGTAGTTTGTTTTTTATGGATTGATAATTTTTGTAATCTGTTTTCCCAGTGTAATGAGAAAATATTAGAGGACTTATAAGTGAGTCAAACACTTCATTCATGGAGGAAAAATAATCTTCACATCTAGGTTTGAATGACACAGAAAGGGTTTTTCCCCACCATGTTTGCTGGGCAACTCTCAAATACTTTAATGGTGCTTAGACCTGCAGAAACAATATTATAAATAAATAACTAAAGCATTTAATAAGGCATTTGAACTATTTTCTTTTATTTGGCCAGAGCTGCATGCACTCATTGACCTTTGGTTGTGTAGTACTGACTAAGTATAATAAAAACAGAATTGATTAAAGTCTTTAAAGAAATGGTATTTGCAACCTACAATGCTTTCAAAATGTTTTATTGTTTATTTTTTTATCCTCTGTTCAGCCTGGCCTGTGGAGGCTGAAGGTCAAGTCTAAACTTTTGCACATCAACAGAGGTTTGTTCAGCTCTGTAAGAACATTCAGTTAAATGTTAAGTGTTAAAATACTTGTCTCAGGTTAATGTGCAAAATGGCACATACTAGTGGTGCAAAAATTACACACTTTCAAATTAAACATTAAGCAAAGCAGAGGCAAAAGCAGTTGCAACTCTGTGTGTGTTGGGTTGAAAATAGAGCTGCAGTTTTCAGCTGAAGATCCAGTGTGGTTGTCCTATGTGGATGTTTGTACAGGTGGCTTACATGTGTGTTCATGGCCTGTCTAGTAACGGTGGCCCCTTATATTTCTGGGCTTTTCAGCACACCTTACACTATCCTCATGTTTTAAATGTTTACTTTGGTGTGATTTGGTATGTTCTGTTTCATTTCTCTGATGACTGTATTGGAGAGGGGGCCACAGGAAGAAATTATGTCATCTCTAAACTGCACCAAGACACTACAGCAGTTTCACTGGAGCCTCTGGTGGCAGGTGTCATTTCCTGCCTATGTGTGCTTTGAGATAGACAGTATGTTTTTCCTTAAATAGAAGTTTTATATTTAAAGTGCTCTGTACTTGCTAATGTGCTGTTGATATGGTGAAATGTAACGGACACAAACAAGAGTTCAATCAAATGTCAGCTTTAGTCCCATTATATTATGCAGTGTTTCCTACAGAATTCAGCTTTTCAGCGGCGTAGTCAGACGTTGAATATTTTAGAGCAGTTACTGAATAAACAACTAACTGATTTAAACGGATAGCTTGAGTCTTTAGGACTGATTCATTTAAAGAACTGACTCTTGATTTGACTGTTTTCTTTTGATAACAGTAACCTTTTTTTTTTTTTTTTTTTACAAATACATTATTGGTCCCATGTTATGTTTGGTGTTTTTAACTACTATGTATTTGCAATAAAAAGAAAATGTTAGGTTAAAAAGAATACTTGTGTTCATGTTTTATTGTAATTGCTTTTGCTGCTATTGAGGTGGGATAAAGTGAAGGTTAAGGACAGGTTTTGTGTTCTGGTTAGGTTTAAGGGTGGGTTAAAGGGTAGGGGTAAGGTCAACAATGTAGTTACAGGTGTAATTACAAAAATTATAGTTTTAATTACATGCAGGTGTTTGTAGTCAAGTCACCTTTATTTATTTATGCAATACATTACAGTGTCAAACAGGAAAATAGTTGGTCAATAATGCAAGAGGACAATAACAAATAGTACATTTTTCAGTTAAAGTCAGTTAATTGATGAATTAGGCCCTGTCCACACGGAGACGCGTTTAGCTGTATACGCATACATTTTGTATCGTATAGGCGTTTCGTCCACAAGGATCCGGCGTTTTGGGAGAGTGAAACCGATATTTTTTTAAACCGGGTCCCAGAGTGGATAAATCTGAAAACGCCACCCTTGCGTTTTCATGTGGACAGCGAATCCGTATATTTTCTGAAATGATGACGTCATCAGCCCACGTCTCGCCTCTAGTCAGACACCGCTACGTCACGTAACAGCAACAAAAACATGAACAAACACTGAATGATTGTCTTTTTATTAACTAACATTAACACAGATTAATAAATGTATTGTTCCATGTTTGTTTGTATACCGTGCGCAAGGTTTATGCGCATAGTAGGGTTTTACGATAAATCACGATAAAATGCCCTGACGGTTTCCGTGATAATATTGATAACCGTGATAACTTTGGTCACTATAATCGTGATAAGAAATTTTCATACCGTTACATCCCTAAGTCATCTTCTCCGTTTTTAGTGTATCTCTGTGGCAGAATTACAGCGCCACATACTGGTCTGTCATGTATGCTACACGTATACTACATAGTTTTGTGTCGGTTTCGTGGTTTCGCGTGGACACAGATATTTTTTGTTGTCTTATTTACTATTAAACATTTTCAAACTAAACTTGCTTACACTACCGTCTTAAATCATATTTCTATCACTGACGAAAAATATGTTGTCTTATATTAAAATTGAAAAATGTAATTAGCCTATTCTGAATCATCATCATCATCATGACACAAAAGTACCATCATTAGATGCTAGTAAAATATTTTACGCTATGAAATAATCATATGCCATTAAATGTCTTGTACTGGTACTCCATCATGACATGGAGCAAAACTGGCCTACTGGTGCAGTCTTAAGACTACTTAATGGCCAAATAAAAAGTGCATTAAAATCATCGATATGTTAACAATGGTGGAGATCGATGCACTTATAAAGAAAGTGAGTGAAGATTGTGTCCATAAAGATTTCACATTGTGCAGTAAAGGGTAGAGAACTTTTGGAAGTTGTGAAGGCAGGGCAGAAGAGAGAGTGAAAAAGGGAGAGGAGGGGGAGAGGTGTGGCTGCTGGACATTCCGAATAGTTTTCCGGTAAGGGTTTCCAGTGAGACCATGCCTGGTATGTCGGTCACAACAGACCTGGTCTTGCTTCAAAGTGCTTTACGCAGCAGTGCCGTAACCGCCAGCCATCACCTCAGTCTACATGTGCAGGAACAAATCCATGGGCCTGGTGGCCTCATTGCTTGCTTAATTGTTTTAACTGCATTTCCGTTCATTATACGCTGCATTCCCTTAGGACAGGACATCATCCAGTTGCCCAAAAAAGGTGAAGTGTGCTCTGGGTAACAAAGGCTGTAATATATATTAAAAAAAAGATGAATGACTTGTCAGATCAGGCTTCATCATCAGGAGTGGATGTTCTTTTATTATCTACTGACTGTAAAGCCTTGGTGACATATCAGTCTTAATTTCTTCAGGCTGGAAGTTCTGCCTTGCCATTTAACATCCTGTCCTTGAAATATGCCTGTAGCTCATTCCACTCCGGGTCTAAGTAAAAGAGATACTGCTCAGCATGAGTTTTTTTCCCAGATGAATAAACATTTCCAAAACAGTAACAAGGTGGGATTAGTTTTCTAAATTGTTAAATTGTCTAGCTACATTTATTAACATAAAATGAATCTTATTTATGTACTGATTCTCTGTATTTTATTTATTTATTTATTTTTACTGTCTGGATGTGGGTGTGACGAAAGTTTATTTGTATGTATCCAGAGCACATGTGATTTATATTATGATAACATGTTTAGAATTAATGAGAGATATTAATTAACCGTGGCCTTTCTAAGCAGTTTATGTGAATCAGACCTTCATTGATTTTGTAATTAATTAATTTCTTTATTTTTTACATTCAATGGGAGGCCAGCAGCACTTGTTACCCAGAAAACTGGCACCCCATGTTTAAAAGGAGACTGTTATTTGAATGTTTTACTCAAAGTGTTTGTCTTTCTGTTTCAGGACTCCATGAATGCCATGGTTTTAGATTTGGATTTTCCAGCCTTGCGTAAAAATAAGAACATTGAGACCTTCTTGAACAGATGTAAGTATCTGCTTTTATCAGGCCATGGTTTTCTCTGATTGTTGTTCTGTGTTATTCTGTTGGTAGAGGAAATACTTAATGGTGGCATCAAGTTTTACAATGAGGCTGCTTCCTGCTACAACATTAACAGCATTGAACTTAATTGTTTTGAGTGGCTCTTCCTAATTTGGGCCACTCACTTTACAACACTGAAGCTCATCACATAAATAATGTACTGTCAGCACAAACTGTGAAAACTGCATTTTTGTGTGTGTTTGGTATTAAAGGGTTCGTTCACCCCAAAATGAAAATTCTGTCATTAATTACTCACCCTCATGTTGTTCCAAACCTGTAAGACCTTTGTTCATCTTCGGAACACGAATTAAGATATTTTTGATGAAATGTGAGAGCTCTCAGACCCTGCATAGACAGCAACGCAACTGTAATGTTCCCAAGTCCAGAAATGTAGTAAGGACATCAGTAAAACAGTCCATGTGACATCAGCGGCTCAACTTCAGTTTTGCGAAGCAACGAGAATACTTTTTGAGCGCAAAGAAAACTAAAATAATAATTTATTTAACAATTCTTCTCCGCAGAGTTACGTCTTCTGCCATTTTGGAGAGTACCCAAGTGCGTAATCGACGTAATCAGCGTTGTTTACGTTAGGGGGAGAAAGTATGTGCATGAACGTAATCTGCACAATCAGCGTTGTTTATGCTTAGGGGAAAGTGTGCGTATGTGTTGTGATACTCTCTAAAATGGCGGAAAACGTAACTCGGGGGAGAAGAATTGTTGAATAAATTTTTATTTTTGTTTTCTTTGCGCTCAAAAAGTATTCTCGTAGCTTCGCAAAACTGAAGTTGAGCCGCTGATGTCACATGGACTGTTTTACTGATGTCCTTACTACGTTTCTGGACCTGGGAACATTACAGTTGCATTGCTGTCTATGCAGGGTCTGAGAGCTCTCACATTTCATCAAAAATATCTTAATTTGTGTTCCGAGGATGAACGAAGGTCTTACGGGTTTGGAATGATATGAGGGTGAGTAATTAATGACATAATTTTCATTTTTGGGTGAACTATCCCTTTAAGAAATAGTTTGCAGTTGATGTCATGGAGGATTTTAATGCACTTCCCATGCAGGACACTTTTTACATTTCTAGGTCTCGCACAATTAGCAAAGTTTTAAATGTGATTTATAAATGCATCAATCGTGTATTAATTATGTAATATTTAAAAAATAATGTAATTTATGATTATCTGCTAACATTGAGCTAACTGTACAATTGTTTTGGCTTGATTGGTATTAGAGACCATATGGGTATACAAGGTAGAGACCTGCGCGGGATGGATTTTTCAGTCCCGCTCCCGCAAGATTCTGTCCCGCTCCCGCAGAAATATATCTTATCTGGTCCCTCTCCCGCCCGCGACATTCATGTTTTGTCCCACTCCTGCTCGCAAAAGCCCGCATAAAAGTAATCTATATAGATTTTTTTTTGGTAATGGTTCTGTAACATCTCTTAAGCTCCACAACATCCCAGCATAAACACTCCCGATAAAATATTTGTTATTTATTATTTATTTATTTTTAACAGAAAAGCAAGCATGGGCTGCTGCATGCATGGCAGAATGCGAGCAGCACTTCCTTTATTATCACTAAAAGTCGACATCTCAGTTAATCGCGATCTTATAAAGCTCTGTTATAACACAATAAATGTATGCACAATTAATCTTTCACAGTGTCTACACTTCGTGTGTTAAAATGAGAGGATTTTCACTGCGGTCAGTAGATTCTAACTTAATCACCTCTGATTGGCCATTGCGTTCCAGAAATCAACAGCTGAGTCTGTGATTGGCTACATTGCGCAACCCTTTAAACACGTGTTATAAATAGAAACTCTGCCTAGCTTGCGCATGTCAATCATTTTAATGTTAATAGCTATTAGTTGTTCTTTTTGCTTTTGTGCAACAGATAAATAAAAATGTTTATGTTTTAGACACTTTATGTTTAGATAATTTCTATTTTGCGGGAGTCCAGCGAATCATTTTATTCTCCCGCATCCCGCACACACACGAGTCTCTTCCCGCCCGCACCCGCACTCGCCCATCAAGAGTTGTCCCGCGCCGCACTCTGTTGTGTTGGGTCCCGCGGGTCCCACGGTACTCCAACGGGAGTGCGGGTCTCTAATACAAGGGGCTGTAATATTAGCTCTGTGATGGACTGGTCATCCAGTCTTCCTGCATATGGCCCAACGCCTTGGGATAGGCTTTAGCTTCCCCGTGCCAGTAACATTGGACAAGCAGTTTGGAGAATGGATGGATGGATGCTGACATAGATCATATTTTTTAACAGTTTATCTAATTTAACATTTGTGCCCCATAATTTAGTATTCAATTTGTTATCATTGTTAAGTTATCATCGATATTTGTTTAAATTCAGTAGCCAGTACCATGCCTGTGTGAATGCATCTGTGTCTATGTGTTCTATTCATGCGCTATTAAACTTTTGACTAATCACATTCTGTCCCGATTTTTTTCCTGTTTCTGCCTGTTGTCATGGAGACCAGTAGGGCTTTATAATATTTGGTTTGGAAGAGAGAGTGTGACTCAGTCCTCTCATCCAGACTGTGAACTCTCTGCTTTGGCCTTTGATAATTGTCATTCCTGATGTTGATGTTGCACTAAACATGCTCAGTGTTTTGATGAATAACTACTAAACTTTACAGTATATACTGAAGATTTGTAGGGGTTTTTTTTGTGTGAGGAAAATGACAGTGGATCTTTGAACATTATTTTCTGTAGGACAATTATAATGCATGTGTGTGTAATATATATATATATATATATATATATATATACACACATATATATATATATATATATATATATACACACACACACACACATATATACACACACACACACACACGAATAGATAGATCTAGATGTGTGTTTGTGTGTCTGTGTGTATAGATATATCCATTGACATTTTCCCCACAAAAAAGCTAGAATTATAACATTAATGATAAAAAATGGGATTTATGCAAAATATTACTCAAAGATATTTGAAAACACTTCAGTTAATTGGCCAGTAGACCTCATGTTGAATTTAATGTGAATGAAAACGAGGCAGTGAGGGATAGACTTACAGTTTTTACGATGGCTCGCACTTAGTAAAGGTCCTAAATCGTGTAATTTTCACAGCTGAAAAGATTTTGAGAAAGGCATTTTGTCAGCTGAAAAAAAGTTATGTTGTTAAACACAACAGTACAATCCATTGAAGGCATGTACTTCTATCACTGCCTCTTTTTCATTCCTGTCAAAAATTAAATTTGGTGCTACCCTGATTAAGGTCTGTTATGGATGAATACTGGCCAATTAACAAATGGTAATTTTATATTAGTCAGTCATTACTATTGACAGACCTGAGGTCAACAGAAAACAAGTTCTAGTTCTTCATGACATGACCAAGGAAATGTGATTTTGATGTGTTATGTGTACAGATGGGAAGGTTATGGGCCATATGAGGGAGCTCCAGATGAAGCCAGATGATTTTGACAGAGTGAAGGTGATCGGTAGAGGAGCATTTGGAGAAGTCCAGCTGGTAAGGAATTTCAGGATGCATTGAAGCGTAAAGGTGTTGACTGCTAAGAAAATTATAAATCTTTCCCACTGTTTTTTTTCTATTTTGTCGGATGTGATAATCCTGTTGCTAGTTTATGAGTACATTTAGTGCAGATGCCCTTTATTTGTATAATAGCCCATATAAGTCACACATGCACTGTTAAATCAATCTGCGGCATCAATAGAACATTAAATGTTCCTTAATGCATCACATTTTGAAAGCACTATGTTAACTCCATGAGAATGAGATTAATTGCAATTATTTAAATCTATTAATAGACACAATTTAACTCAAATGTAATGTGTAATTGTCTGAATGGATGTGTTAAGTGTGTTCACTTGTACTAAATGCTGCAAGCAGTTATTTGTGGTTCCTGTTGAATGGGACCTCATGTAATTGTATTTACATGTCAGATATATAAAAGGAAGAAAGAGCATGTGTAGTTTTGTATTGTGTGGGCACTCTGGTTGTGTGTTTGTGATAGTCAGGGGAGAGATGCAGTGGGATGAGTCTGGACAAGCCTGCAGACACAAACAACATGATTACCCAGTATTGTCCTCTGTCAGTTGTCTGACAGGGGCTGTGTGGGTATGTTATGCCTAAAGCACCACAGAGGGTGCTTTAAAATGTGGCTTTTCTGTGTTAAAGGCAAAACAGCATCTCACAGAGTGTTTATTGGTTTTATTTTTAAATCTTTTTGGGAGTTAGGCACAAGGCCTGTTAGAAATTGAAAGTGTTGTTTGTCAGTAATGTATGAGTGAACCTCTTACTAGTATTCTCGCACAAGGTATGTGATGTAGTTTTGTTATGATCTGGTTGTGTGTTTGTGTAGGTTAGGCATAAGGCCTCTCAGAAGGTGTATGCAATGAAGGTGCTCAGCAAGTTTGAAATGATCAAACGCTCAGATTCTGCCTTCTTTTGGGAGGAGCGTGACATCATGGCGTTTGCTGACAGCCCATGGGTCGTACAGGTAAGATGCGCTGACATCTTTTTTGAAGCCAAAATCTTGTCCTTTTTTTGAATTCCCTTACATGTGCAACAATGTTTTTTTCACATAAAAAACTCACTATGCTTTGATCTATGAATAAATCAAATATGCTGTTTCCAAGCATTAAATATCACATATGCACATTATTATTCAAAAGTTTTGGGTCAGCAAGATAAATAAAAAAAAAAAGAAATTAATACATTAATTCAGCAAAGATGCATTATATTAATCAAAAGAATCATTATTACAAAGAATTTAAAATATCATGCAGCATATCATACAGTTATATTTCACAGTATTACTGTTTTTACTGCATTTTTTAATCACATAAATGCACCCTTGGTAAGCAGATGAATCTTACCAAGAAGAGGCTTCTGCTTACCCTTGGTAAGCAGGGAAAAAAATCATACCGACCCCAAATTATAGTGCATGTTTTTACTGATTCCTATTATGATTATTACAGTGATATTTCTTTAAAAAAATGAAATGGGACACTTTTAATCTGTCAACAAAAAAGTCTTATTTATGAATCTGTCAGATCAACTTTCTTTATTTTATATTCCATATTTTAAGCATAAATGACAACTGTTTTGATTAACTTGAGTTTTTTAAATTGATTTATTAATTGCCTAATTTGCTAGCTGCTCCACTTAAAATGTTAAAAGTTCAATTGTGTTATGTTAATTGGACCATGAATATATCAGTGTGTCTCTAGTTTGAGCACATACACAATCTCTCAGTCTACAGAGAAAAATTTTTTTTTCCCCCTCTCTTTTCTCAATTCTTTCTTGTCTTTCCCTTAGCTGTGCTGTGCGTTCCAGGATGACCGTTCTCTCTACATGGTAATGGAATACATGCCAGGAGGAGATCTCGTCAATCTCACCAGTACATATGATGTTCCAGAGAAGTGGGCAAAGTTTTACACTGCTGAGGTTGTGTTGGCTCTGGATGCCATTCACTCTATGGGCTTTATTCACCGAGACATCAAACCAGACAACATGCTTCTGGACAGCTACGGACACCTCAAACTTGCTGACTTTGGGACCTGCATGAAAATGGATGGGGTAAGGGGATAACCGTTTATTGCAATACCAAATATCAGCTCTCATCAAAAACTTCAGGCTCGCTCTGGGCAGCTTTTCACCAGGCGTTTTAACCCTGAGTGCAGGGATTTTTTGGGGGGATGTAGTTGCATGACAAATACCTTGAACACATGCCAGTTCTTGTCCAAACTCAAAGGACCAAAGAAAAACTCTTGCTCTCATTCCTGAGTTCACTCATGTCTGAGTGAGGAAGACCTCAGGTGGGTTCAGAGGTCATAGGGTCATACTGAGGCTAAAAAGCTGTTGAATTTTAAAAATGCTCAGATTATGTTGATTGAAGATTAAATGTGGCCACCAAGGTTATTATAGTTTTGCATTTTTAAATTCATTTTATTTTAATATCGTTTTCAAATTTGCAATAAAATGTAGTTTTGTTTTTATTAGTTTCATTAATAATTTTGTTAGTTTTAGTTTAGTTTTTATTTTGTGAACACATTTCTATTTAGTTTTTATATAGTTTAGTTTCAGTTTTAGTTTTAGTAGGCTAATTAAAGTTTAGCAGAATTAACCGATCACTTCCAGAGCACAGGCCAAAAAAGGCTTAGGCTAATTTAACCTTAGTGATGCAAATGTCTAGGGACACAAAATTAAAGCATGCTGAGAATGATTAAATGGTAGAAGTATACAGATACACGTCAAAATGAAGCAGTCATGCCTTTTTAAATCTACACAAGTTGCGCTTACATTATACTCTCATTCCTGAGTTCACTCATGTCTGAGTGAGGAAGACCTCAGGTGGGTTCAGAGGTCATAGGGTCATACTGAGGCTAAAAAGCTGTTGAATTTTAAAAATGCTCAGATTATGTTGATTGAAGATTAAATGTGGCCACCAAGGTTATTATAGTTTTGCATTTTTAAATTCATTTTATTTTAATATCGTTTTCAAATTTGCAATAAAATGTAGTTTTGTTTTTATTAGTTTCATTAATAATTTTGTTAGTTTTAGTTTAGTTTTTATTTTGTGAACACATTTCTATTTAGTTTTTATATAGTTTAGTTTCAGTTTTAGTTTTAGTAGGCTAATTAAAGTTTAGCAGAATTAACCGATCACTTCCAGAGCACAGGCCAAAAAAGGCTTAGGCTAATTTAACCTTAGTGATGCAAATGTCTAGGGACACAAAATTAAAGCATGCTGATTAGATGGTAAAAGTATACAAATACACGTCAAAATGAAGCAGTCATGCCTTTTTAAATCTACACAAGTTGCGCTTACATTATATTTAAATGCACTACTGAATGATACATGCGTGTTGTGATTTTTAATTTGAAAATAAATGTAGCTAATTTATTCATATTATGTCTTTCATCTTATTTAACCATAATCATGATACCATAACTGTCGTGTCTTGCTCACTTTCCAGCAACCAAACGCGCATAAATCATAAGTGGAACTTATGAAATTCACTAATAATGCCTTAACATTCGATGCAGTAGCCTATTTAATGCGGGCGCGGTTCAGGTCGCGGTCTTATAAATCAAACGGGTCGGGTACAGAATTAAATTGGTGCTGGCTGCTGTCGTATAACGGGTCGGGTGTTCTGTTATGTACTGCGGATGCAGGTTTACCTAACAGGAACCGTGCAGGACTCTGCTTTAAACTGCTTTGCGTCTCTCCATCAGATAACCTCACGTGTATGATGCGCCATTTACAGGTATTTACCTAAACCGACACACACAGCTCATATATTTTTCCACCACGGGGTGAGAACGTAATGATTACGAAAACAATTATTTATTTTGGATAATTATTATTTTATTTCAGTTAGTTTCGCAATAACTGTTGTTAGTTTCGTTTAGTTTTAGTTTTTTTCATTTATTTTGATGTTCTTATTTTATTTCAGTTTACGAAAATGTTTTTTGACCAATCGTTTTCGTCTTAGTTTTAGTTTTCATTTACGAAAATAACCTTGGTGGCCACATCAACTTTTTCCCCATCTGTTAGTTTTATAGGATATCAGTAAAAATAGCTCAGTTGTGTTCCGTTGTGATCATCTGAAGGTAACATTGTGATCCTGTCCTGTATGTTTCTGCTTTATCTCTATCATATGTGATAATTATAAAGCAATAGCTGTAAAATATTGACTCTACGGGTCTGGGATGCTCGAATGTTATGGGCTTGGTGGAGTCAAGAATAAAGATCATAGCCATAAAAACACTAAAGGTGAACAAAAATCTAAAACTTAAAACAGCAAATATATCAATATATATATTTTTTGCTTATTTAACAACAGTCACCTCTGAGATGGTAGATATCTGATAGCTACTGTGTCTGCAGGGGCACTGAACTCGGGACTAGATAGGCCTATAATAGGTTATGAAATACATTAAAATGTTATATAACAGATACTAATATATGAAATTCATTACAGGGACAAATTTTTTTGCCGCACATTTTACATATCTGGGGCATTTTTGTCACTTTTATTGCCAGATATTTCTTTCAAGTCCTGGTTAGTTTCTGACCTGCTCTTTAGTGCCACAATCCAGCCACAGAAACTAGGCTGGACATACAGTTTGGTGATATTATAGTGCCATCTATAGTAGAGAAGCAGAACTACTCACTAAGAATAATGTTTGAATTAGTACCAGTACACATCAGTTTGTGTGCTAAAAACGGGTTGATACTTCCAGAAATCATGCATTTCTCAGAAATCATACAAAAATCATTCTGAAATAATTAAATCTTAGAAATTCACTCAGATTCAGGGTAAACAAAATCTGTTCAATCAAAACAAAAAATGTTACTTTTTGTAAATTGTATATATTGCTATGTAGAGTCTCTAGATCTAGATCAACTAAGATCCAATCATTTGACTCATTGATTGGCTGATTGATTGTAGACTGGGATGGTTCATTGTGACACTGCGGTCGGAACCCCTGATTACATCTCGCCGGAGGTTCTCAAGTCTCAGGGAGGGGATGGATACTACGGACGCGAGTGTGACTGGTGGTCAGTGGGAGTATTTATCTACGAGATGCTGGTTGGTGAGTCAGGAATGTGAATGTGTGCGTTTGTCTTAACTGCATTTGTAGCATTGGTTTATTAAATGAGATAAATGTTTGTGTGTGCAGGTGATACACCGTTCTATGCCGATTCTCTGGTGGGGACCTACAGTAAGATTATGGACCATAAGAACTCTCTTAACTTCCCTGATGACGTTGAGATCTCTCAAGAAGCCAAAAACATCATCTGTGCCTTCCTAACAGATAGGTGTGCTTTTACGTGCACAGATAGTTCCTTTTTTACTCACAATTTGTACAGTGTCCCAACTTTTTTGGAATTGGGTTTGTACATGTAGTCCTCTGTTCCATATTGTTTAACTGCCAAGGTTCATGCCTGTTTTGTGTTTGTGGATGCTTGCATTTGGTAGGGAGGTTCGACTGGGCCGAAATGGCGTAGAAGAAATTAAAAGACATCCTTTCTTCAAAAATGACCAGTGGACCTTCAGCACCATTAGAGAGAGTAAGTAACCCCCCCCCCCCCCCCCCCCCCCCCCCCCACCTCATTACCTCATTAATATGTGAACAGAAATCAAAATAAATGTTCATCCAACTTGCATATGTTTTACAATACATTTTAAACAGACAATATATTTTGAGTAATAAAAAATTTACGGACATGATCATATCTCTGAAAAAACTAAATAAATTAATATATTTCTCAAACGCCTTCTTGTCTTTATGGATGCGTGTACTTCAAATCAAGTATATTTTTTTTAAAAATTGAACTTGCAGGTAATATAATAATGAAATAAAAGGCCTCTTAAGTGTATTTAAAGAATTTTCTTGTTCATGTTTCTTACCTGCTTCTTTTAAAAAGAACACTTTTTTTTTTTTTAAATGTCGAATTAAAATAAACAAATTTAAATCAATTTTGAACCTTTTTAATAATCTTTTGCCATGCTTTAAAGTACACTCATTTTGATGTCTCAACTAACATACTGAAGTACATGTAAAGTTAATACATTTTTTAAATGTACTGAATTGCAGTTGCATCATTTAAAATGTGTATTTACAAATATATTTTTAATTAATGATGTACAAGTTTAAATAAACATAAGTATATTTTAGTTTACCATAAATGCTTTTAGTACATTCAGCAGTAAATTTAAATCATATTTAAAAGAAAATAGAAGTATTTATTAAATATAAAGTTGAATTTAAGTGGGTCAAAAAAGCCGCAAAAATGTGTGCTATTTATGTGGATTTAAAGCAAACAAATCAAAAATATTAAAAAGTTCTAAAACTATAATAATTTTGCCCAATACACATTCATATTCCAATGTTACCTAATGAAAAGTAAAGCTAGCCTGTGAGATGGATGTAAACATTTCTGAGCAATGTTATCTTTATCTCTACTATCTCAGTGCCCTTTGTATCAGCTGTTCTAAACACACACAGTGACCTGTTTTTGCCCATTCTCTCTCCAGCTGCAGCACCCGTGGTTCCAGAGCTGAGCAGTGACATAGACACCAGTAATTTTGATGAGATAGAGGAAGATAAAGGAGAAGTAGAGACCTTTCCCACACCCAAAGCCTTCGTTGGCAATCAGCTACCTTTTGTGGGGTTCAGCTACTTTAAAGAAGACCAGTAAGAGATTTGTTTTTTGTCACTTTTGTATAATAATCTATTTCTTGGAACAGTGTTGGTTCTGCATCTGATGTCCTGAAGCAAAACTAGTTGAATAACTGCTGTCACAGATTATCTGATATGTTTTTGTGTAGGTTGTTGAATGCTGTTAACAGTTCAGCAATGAAAAAAGATCCAGTATCCAAGACAGAGGTACGACACAGATACACTCCCATCTTTGTCATCTTAAACATTTAATTTAACTGCGTTATGCTCTTTAGAGACTGGATTTACTTCATACAGTAGTCCCTGGTTAGAGACTTAATAAGAGACTTGGACTTAAACTGGTTAGTGCTTCTTGCAACATTGGTTGTAACATTTTTTTTTCTCTTTCTTTCTCTTTTTTTTACCCGTAGGACAATTTAGCTGTAAGTGTTCACACTCTATCTGCTTAATATACATCTTGTTAGGTAATTTATAAATTTAAGAGATTGATGACATATTAAATTGCTTGATTTTCCACTCAGCTCCAGAAGAAACTTCACTCTCTAGAAGAGCAGCTCAACAATGAAATGCAGACCAAAGATGAGCTGGAGCAAAAATACAGAAGCAACTGTAGCCGCCTGGAGAAGATCACCAAAGAGCTTGATGAAGAAGTGAGTGGGTGTTTCGTCTTTGGGATCTCAGTAAAGTTGTGTGTAGGAATATACAGTAATCTTATCACTTTGCACATGTGTTTATAGATCAATAGCAGAAAAGGGTTGGAGACGACTCTTAGACAGTTGGAGAGAGAGAAAGCTCTCCTGCAGCACAAGAGTGTAGAGAGTCACCGCAGGGCAGAGAGTGAAGCCGACCGCAAACGCTGCTTGGAGAATGAAGTGAACAATCTGAGGGATCAGCTGGATGAAATGAAGAAGAAAAACCAGAACTCCCACATCTCCAATGAGAAGAACATCCACCTGCAGAAACAGGTTAGTGGGTTAGAGAAAGAAAAAAACAAAACAAAAAATTACTGACCCCCAATTGTTTGAACAGATATATATATATAATTTTGCATTCATTCACAAAACATTTATGTGGTTATTTTATACTTGTATGATGTTTTGTTGCATACTCTTAAGTCAGAATAATACAGTGTCTGTTAAAAGCATCATTCAGTTACTTAAAGGGGTGGTTCACTGTTTTTTTTCTAGGCTTGATTGTGTTTATGGGGTGCAGTCTAACTTGTTAATGCTTCGTTTTTTTTAAAGCGCATTATTTTTCACATAATTTACCTTTATTCCACACCGCTCTGTCCCTTCTCTGAGAAACCCGCTGATTATTTCCTCCTTGTATGAAGCCCCTCCCTCAGAAATAGGTGATGGGCTCTGATTGGTTAGCTAGCCCAGTGTGTTGTGATTGGCTAAACTGCCTCTATTGCAAACGTCCCGCCCCTCACTTCGGCAGCATGTGCTCCGGTTTTATTGTAAACAAAGGCATCGTTAATATCGCTTATCAGATTGAGCCCGATTGAGAAGCAGAGGATATTATTATTGAAGAGGATCGTGCAGAACCTGTGCAAGCATGGCTTTTAATGGTAGGCCTATGTTTTTTGTTTGTTGTTGTCTCATACTTTTAGATACGCTGTTATTTGTAAATGCTACTGCTTATGTTAGCTTTTTATATACGGTTTTATCCTGATTAAACTTTAATACAGTACAGCAACTGCACGCGCGTCCATGTTTAACGCTTCTCATAGCTAAGTGAGAATAAGTGTATAATTGGAACAGTTCATTGTTGGAGCTGAGCTGAGAGAGAGAGAGAGAGAGAGAGAGAGATGCAAAGCATGTGCAGAGCAGGGGAACGCGAGGAACAGTATTAAGAACTGCTGCTTTAGAACATTGATTTTGAAACTTGAGAATCCATTAGAATCGTTAGAAGACAGAATCACGATTCATATACGAGTAGATTTTTACGTGCACCTCTAGTTTTCTCTTCCTCTTCTCTAAAGCAACGCAGCATGGCCTCAACCCCCCTTTGTTGCCTTTTCCCGAGGGCGGGGTTTATCTGGGTTTGTTATGTCACGAACCCGGGAAGTAACGCTTTGTAGTCCCTACCAGCTGTTTTTGTAGGCATTAAACTGCCAGAATTTTAAAAGACAATATCTCCGGTTGCATTGAACTTTCAGCTTCGTAACTTTGCAGATATTGTTTATTCTCAAACAGCAACATTAGACACTAACTAACATTAAAAAAAGTGAAATCGCAATGAAACACCCCTTTAAAAGTAGAGTTCCCAGAATTTCAGTCTTCCTGGATCAACACGTGGCTATGTGTTTTTCTCATGTGTGATCAAGTAACAAAGTGATCCTAGTAACATAACGTTATGTCCCCATTATAAACTCTCTCCGGCAGCTGGATGAGGCAAATACGTTATTGCGGGCGGAATCCGATGCTGCTGCGAGGCTGCGTAAAACTCAGACAGAGAGCTCAAAACAGCTGCAGCAGCTGGAGGCTCACGTGAGAGAACTGCAGGACAAATGCTGCATGCTGGAGAACAGCAAACTCACACTAGAGAGGGACAACATCAGCCTACAGGCCGCGCTGGACGCAGAGAAACGAGAGCACACCCAGGGCTCTGAGACTATCTATGATCTACAGGGTAAGTGCATATCCTCTGTTTTGGATGTGTGCGTTCATTTCACACTCAACAATATTCATCCACATTCCACCTCTTCTGCAGCACGCATCTCTGGTTTGGAGGAGGAAGTGAAACAGGTGAGACAGGCCCTATCTAAAGCTGAGACGGAGAAAAGGCAACTCCAGGAGAAGCTTACAGATCTGGAAAAGGTAGACAAATCTTTCTCATTCTAATTTCCTCCTTCTTTGTTGAGACACTTGTGACATCATTATAGGTTACGGTTGTGGATCCATACGTAATCATTAGTGCCTTCCTCACAGGATGTTAATCATTCCCAGCATTCCCTGCTAAAGTAATGTTGTTCACAAATGGCTATTAGAAAGCTACAGACTTGATTTACTGGGGTTTACTCACTGTTAATTGAATTTTATGTCTAACCACTCCTCTAATATCCCCCTCTGTTTATGCGCCCAATAGGAGAAGAGCAATAACCAGATTGACATGACCTACAAGCTGAAGATTTTGCAGCAGGGTTTGGAGCAGGAGGAGGCGGCACACAAGGCCACAAAAGCTCGACTTGCTGATAAGAACAAGATCAGCGAGTCCATCGAAGGAGCCAAATCTGAGGCTGTAAAGGGTATGAGAGTTTGATGGGATTAAAGATCCCACGAAAGGCACATTTTTAAATGTATTTAAATTTTTCCTATTAAAACAGGAAGCTTGACAGTGAAGTTTACTTTGAAGGGTGCAGTGGAGAATATGATGTTTTAGATTTAGAGTTGGTGGTTTAGTCGAGAGCTACACCAAAGGAGATTTGATTGAGGAATTGCTGGTTTTCTAAAACATACCAGGATTTTATGACTGTCTGTATGTGTTCACCTAGAGCTGGAACAGAAGCTGCAGGAGGAACGATCCTCTAAACTGCGTGTAGAGAACAGGGTGTTAGAACTGGAGAAGAAGAGCTCCATGCTTGACTGCGACTATAAACAGTCACTGCAGAAACTAGAGGAATTGCGACGACACAAAGAGAGACTCACAGAAGAGGTTTGTGGAGGGTAACAAAAATATTAATCAGAATATGTTTTCAAAAGAAAACATTTACTTTAAATTGTAATAATTAATTTTAATCAAATGAATGCAGCCTTGAACATAAAGTGACTTCTTTCAAAACCATTAAAAACCTTTCTGATCTCAAACATTTAAATGTTAGTGTATTTCTTTATTTTGGGATATTTTTATTTAAATATACATGTTCCTTTATATTGCAGTGGAAAGTTGTTTTTACTTGTGTATTTTTTAGATGCAGTGCAGGTCATGTCACTTGAAGCATTATGTTTTTCATATATAACAAAAACTTTTTTCCATCACAATAAAGGTTGTTCCAAAAATGTGCCTGTTCTTTCTCTCTCTCTCTCTAGGTGAAGAATCTGAGTCTGAAGATCGAGCAAGAGATTCAGAAACGCGCTTTGACTCAGAATGACCTAAAGGTTCAGAACCAGCAGCTCAGCACCCTGCGAACATCAGAGAAACAACTCAAACAGGAGATAAACCACCTGTTGGAAATCAAACGCAGCCTGGAAAAGCAAAATATGGAACTGCGCAAGTATGCAATGCATGCATAACTTATTAGCTGCGTTTACATGGACCCTACTAATCCGATCGTAAGTGGACTAGAAGCACAATCAGATTGAATTGTCCAGATCCGACTAAAATTTAGATCGGATTGTAAGGGGTGGTTTATTCCTTTTGTAATCCGAGCGAGAGGACATGTAAACACTTGATTGGATTGAAATCCGAATCTGGAAAGTACTACGCATGTGCAGTGATGTAAAAATAGTGTAATGACGTATGACGCGCGGAACAAGCTGTTCTTCCTGGTGAATAAAGTGTCATAAATGAGTGTCCCGTCATTTATAAAACTCCCGTTTCACTCAGCTTCTGTGAAGTGGAGCAGCACAACGTCCCACCAGTCCTTGTTTAAGACTCACATCAACAGACGACTGGTTTTGGGTGCAGGAAGGGGCACTTTTACTGCTTTATAAAGTACGCAGCACAGCACAACAGTTCATGTGCTGCTCATCGCCTAATTAGGACCCGAAGTAGATAAATATCACGTGTGCTTTTTAAAACAGTATGCGACAACAGGGGGTAACTTTGTATATTCATGCAGTGTGCGCATGTCAAAAGAGTAAATCCGATCAGAAGCTTGTGACATATAAACACGCATATCAACCCGATCACTTTATTTAGTGTTCCATGTAAACACTATGTACGGATTCGTCAATCAGAATGAATTCAAAAAGCAGAAAGTGTCCATGTAAACGTACCTATTGAATATTCATTACCTTACACACAAACACAAAATTTAATAAGTCTGTGGTTGAAGAACCTCTTCTGTTTTTGCTAAAATATTAAAGTTGTTCATATATTAGATCATTTTCTATGTATGTGATCGTAGGGAGCGTCAGGATTCTGATGGACAGATGAAGGAACTGCAGGATCAGTTGGAGGCAGAGCAGTATTTCTCTGTAAGAAGTCTAAATTCTCTTTCCTTCCAGAAACAAACTGAGCACTCAAAGGTCTAACAAGACTCTGTGTGTGTGTGTGTGTGTGTGTGTGTGTGTGTGTGTGTGTGTGCCTGTGCGTTTGTGTATAGACGCTGTATAAGACACAGGTGCGGGAGCTAAAGGAAGAGTGTGAGGAGAAAAATAAACTCTATAAAGACATGCAGCAGAGTCTACAGGAGCTACAGGAGGAAAGGTGAGATTTATATCCAATAACAAGCAGAAAATCCACAGCCTAGTGTGCAAAATGTGTTCAGTTTTAATTTTTTTAATTTAAATTACTGTATTTAAGCAAAATGTTCACTACAACATGTCATATATAATTTAGTTTTGTGGTCAAAATACCAGACAAAAACTTTTTATTTTAATCACATTGTAAATTGAAAGTATATATGTTGGTTTAAATTCTATGTACCTTTTTCTCTTGTCTCATTCTCAGGGATTCTCTTGCGGCCCAGTTAGAGATCACACTAACGAAAGCTGACTCAGAGCAGCTGGCGCGCTCCATTGCGGAGGAGCAGTATTCCGACCTGGAGAAGGAGAAGATCATGAAGGAGCTGGAGATCAAAGAGATGATGGCCAGACACAGACAGGAGCTTGCTGAAAAAGACTCCACCATCACCTCAGTGAGTTACACCACACTTCAGCTATTAGCCGGTGTTAAAGAAACACATTTAGATTTGCAGCAGTCTTGAGGATATTGGATGGTTTTGGGTTTAATTTTCCCATCCTACTACAGTTAGAGGAAGCTAATCGCACATTGACGAATGATGTGGCAAACTTGGCCAATGAGAAAGAAGAACTGAACAACAAGCTAAAGGAAACACAAGACTGTAAGTTGATGACCAACTAATTTTGTTCTTGCTGATTAATTTTGGTGGACTTTTGTCTATACAGAAACACACACATATAAAGCTGTCACAATATCAAATTATTGTTTGCAAAAGAATTCACAATAATGGATTATGATATTGTCTTGTGTAAAATTAACATATCAATTTCATTTAATTAGTATTAATTTCAATTATTATATTTCATTTTCTAAACAGTTGAACCCTCTCTATATATATATATATATATATATATATATATATATAAAATGTGTGTGATTTAAAATGTAATTTTAAAATAAAATATTTTTAAATATTTACATCATTTTTTTAAATTAATATTTTAGATTTTTTTCACATAGGTTTTGACAGTGGCTGAGTTTGGCTTTTCGTGTCTCTGTGATGACTGAGAGCATTTTTGATTTTCAGACCTGCAGAATCTCAAGAATGAAGAGCAGTCCATCATTCAAGTGAAACTAGCCCTTGAGAAACAGCTTCAGTCAGAGAGAACTCTCAAAACACAGGTACATCATAACATTGTCCTTGTAGAAAAATATGAATCAAATTAAGTTTGTTTGATTTTTATTTATTTATAAAAAAAAATACTGCCTCAATTACTACTTTTTTTCCAATTTTACCGGCTTTTTACTTTAGGCGGTGAACAAGCTGGCAGAGATCATGAATAGAAAGGAGGTCAGAGGTGGTGGAAGTCGCCGTGGAAATGATACAGACGTGAGGAGGAAGGAGAAAGAAAACAGGAAGTTGCAGCTGGAGCTGCGTTCCGAGAGGGAGAAGCTCAACAGTTCTATCATCAAATACCAGAGAGAAATCAACGACATGCAAGCGGTATGACTGCTAATCAGTGTCTGAAGAATGCCACACTTCTTGACATAGAGTCAGATTGCTTGTTTCTTACGCTCGTTTATTTCCTGCAGCAACTGGCAGATGAGTCTCAGGTGCGTATTGAGCTGCAGATGGCTCTGGACAGTAAAGACAGCGATATCGAGCAGCTGCGCAGCCTGCTGAACTCTTTTAACGTCCAGTCGCTCGACTCTGCCAGTATGAGCAGCGGCCCAGAAATGGACACTGATGAATCACTACCAGGTACTGTTAAGTTCTTTTCCAAATTTCTTTTCATTCTGTTTTTCTCTCTCCTCTTTTATAACTTTTCATTTTTAATTAACTTTCCTCGTGTTTTTTTCCACATCGTTCCATGTCACTCTCCTTTCTTTCTGCTTAGTTTTGGTCTTGTTCTCAGTTCAACTTTTGATCTTTCACCCTTCACCTCACTGCAGAGCCTGACCCTACAGGTGACCTGCATGGTGTTCAGACCTTTTGACCTTTTAAGACTTGCCTGGACCTCATGTTTTCTGTTGAAAGGCTTTTCTCTGGTGTAGTTTTATAAAATGGCTGTTTTATTATACATCTCTTTCTCTGCGTGTTGTACAGAGACAAGACTGGAGGGTTGGCTATCTTTACCAGTGAGGAACAACACCAAACGATTTGGGTGGGAAAGGAAGGTATGTTTTTAGACAGGAGTATTGCATTTATTAAAGCAAGCAGTTAGCTAAGGATGCTGTGAAAAAAAATTGGGGGGGTGAGAGTTTATTTAAATGTATCTCTGAGGGGAACTGACTGTTTATAAAAGTGGATGATATTTTCTTTTCATCTCGTCTCTGTATAATTCATATTAAAGCAGCATTCATAAGCGCTGCTCTGCTTTGTTTGCAGTGGTAACCAAGGAAACGCTTTTGCTGCTGTTCCATAAGCGCCACCTGCTGTCAGAGAGTGAATCTGCGTCTCATTCAGAGCCTTCTGCTCTTTGTTTCGTGCAGATGTTTTATGTAGTATAGTTTCACAAAACTAAAGTCAGAGCATTCTGTTTTTGTTTAAAAATGTCAAATTATGCAATCTAATTTAGATTTAAAAAACTGCTCATGCTGCATGTATTCAGCATCTTTCTTTGGATTGTGATTCAAATGCAGAGGTTGCCTCTAATTTTAAATGGAAAGAGCACAGGTAGCCTTTGTTTATATGAAGAGATTTATTTTGTCTTATTTATTTGATTAGATTTAGGGTTTGTTTTAAAATTGTAAAGTTTTTAAAATAGCTTTAAAATTTCAATTTAGTTTTGTTATTTGACATTTCTGTTTCACCTAAGGACTGTTATAATCATTATTGGGGTCTTTTATAAAGCAGATCTCTCCTGTGCAGGGTTGGGTATCGAGTTCAAAACTTTTTAGGTACCGACCGAATTGCCTCGATACCATCAAGTATCGAAAAATGTCTTGTTGTTTAGTACCAAATTTCGATACCTAAGGGGTTAATCTCATTCATCTTATACCAACCTACAGGCAGAAACTGAAATCAGCTAAACCGGTTATAAGGACTGTAAAAAGATGGACTAATAAAGCAGAGTGGGATTTAAAAGTCTCCTTCGACTGCACTGATTGGAGTGTTTTTGAAGCTGCTGCCAATGATCTGGACGAGCTCACAGACACTTGTAACATCATCCATCACTTTCTGTGAGGGCATGTACATTCCTACCATGGCTCATTTAACTTACAACAATGATAAACCGTGGTTCACAGTAAAACTCAGACAGCCCTGTCAGGCCAAAGAAGATGCTTACAGGAATGGGGACGGAGTCTTGTATAAACCGGCCAAAAACACACTGACAAAGGAGATCAGAGTGGCTAAGAGAAACTACTCAGAAAAGCTGAGAATCCAGTTTTCAGCCAATGACCCTGCTTCAGTGTGGAAAGGACTGAAAGACATGACCAATTACAAGATACCACTCCCCAGCACAGTGTTGAATCAACAACTGGCAGACGATTTGAATGAGTTCTATTGCAGGTTTGAAAAACCCTGTCTCACACCCCACACCCATTCTGACCCTCTCTCCATGGATCCATTAACACATCCAGCAACCCACCTCTCCCTCCTCCTGCACTTTAGATCAGTGAAGATGATGTTCATCAGGTCTTCCAGAAAAGAAGACAAGAAGCCTTCAACACTATCATCCCAATCCTCCAGTCCAAGAAACCCAACTCTCTGTGCCCACCTCCATCTGCCAGTGGATCGCCAGCTTTCTGACAGATAGGCAGCGGCTAGTGAGGCTGGGAAAATTCTCATCCTGCACCCGTACGATCAGCACTGGCGCCCCTCAGGGATGTGTGCTCTCCCCACTGCCCTTCTCCCTGTACACCAATGACTGCTCTGCAAAGGACCCCTCTGTCAAGCTGCTGAAGTTTGCAGATGACACCACACTTATCGGCCTCATACAGGACGGTGACGAGTCTGCTTACAGACAGGAGATTAAAGAGCTGGCTGCTTGGTGCAATCTTAACAACCTGGAGCTGAAAACGCTCAAAACAGTGGAGCTAATTGTGAACTTCAGGAGAAATCCCCCTGCACTCCCCTCACTTACCATCATGAACAGCACTGTAGCAACAGTGGAGTCATTCAGATTCCTGGGCAGACTCTCTCCCTGAAGTGGGAGTTCCACATAGACTCCATTGTCAAAAAGGCCCAGCAGAGGCTGTACTTCCTTCGCCAGCTGAGGAAGCTCAACCTGCCACAGGAGCTGCTGAAACATTTCTACTCTGCGGTCATTGAATCTGTCCTCTGCACTTCTATAACTGTCTGGTTCAGCTCAGCTACCAAAACTGACCTTAGAAGAATACTCTTGCATCAGGAATCCCATCCAGTGATTCAGTGAGTCTTTTGTTTCTTTTCTCTTCTCTAGTATGTTGTGGTGAGCAGCAAGAAGATTCTCTTCTACAACAGTGAGCAGGACAAAGAGCATTCCAATCCTTACATGGTGTTGGACATAGAGTGAGTCTTTTTATTCTTTAAATCCATTTAGATAAACAAACGCCAAGCTCATTCATTTTGTCCCATTGAAAAAAAAGTTGTCATTTATCTTAATGACTTAAATCATCTCTGTCGTCTTATCATTATCTTGATTTCTCTGGCATTCTCTTGACAGTAAACTTTTTCATGTGCGTTCGGTAACCCAGACGGACGTCTATCGTGCTGACGCCAAAGAGATCCCCAGAATATTCCAGGTATATTGGTATACCACAGGTGGAGTATCAGGGAACTTCTCATATGTATCTTTAATGTATCGTATCGTTGGCTATGCATCAAGATGCATAGCATATCGCATCGGCCTCTGTCATGGAGATGCACATCCCTAATGTATACACATGAGTCAGTTTTAGTTTAGTTTAGTTATCATGTTTTTTTTTTCCCTGAAAGCCATGATTTTTTCACCACAGTGTAATTTGTATTGTGTAATTATGTATTGTGTTGACAGCATTTTGCTGTCAAGATAAAAATTTTGGTGCACTGAAAAAAAAAATTGTGTAGGATTTAATTTGAAACTATTTTCACTCAGAAAATTTCTCAAACAAAAATGACACATTTTCACAAAGAAACAAGTGACACTTGTTTTTTTGTTATTTTTATAAAGTAGGAAGACTCACTTCAGAAAATAATTTGCCAATTCTTGTCACTATCTTCCTTCATTTGATGGAAAAATGCATTTTAGGCGTCGTAAAATGTCTTTTATGTTGTGTAGAATTTAAAGTCATACAAGTTTGGAACAACATTAGAGTGAGTGAATGATGACAATTTACTCCTGTTTTTCATTTTTGTGTGAACTGTCTCTTTACCATCTTGTTTTGTAAAGTCGCTAGGCACGTGTTTGGCATCGGTTACACACTAGAGTGGTACTCTATATGATACACAGGTCTGTGCACAACATAACGGAACCAACAGCATGTGCGGAGAAATCTGGCTTCATCTACCACAAGGGACATGAGTTTATTCCTTTATTCTACCACTTTCCTGCCAACTGCGAGGCCTGTACCAAACCCCTGTGGAACATGTTCAAACCTCCTCTGGCTCTGGAATGCCAGAGATGTCAGATCAAATGCCACAAGGAGCACATGGACAAGAGAGAGGAAAGTCTCAGACACTGTACTCCAGACCAGTTCAACACTGGGTGAGAGGAGAAGACTGCCGACCTGGAAGTTGGATGGAGGATGTATTGATGTTTATTTTAGGATGCTTCAGAAACATCATTCAGGAGCTTTCAAGGTTTAAATCGAGGTGCTTGACTAACAGAATAACATTTGCGATCTTCGCTAATGGTGGCTTACCGGATAGAAAACTTGAACAGTGTTACGCTGGGCTATTTCTTGTAACTTGGGATGCAAGATGACAGCTTGGACATTAACAAAGCACTTTTTCTCTTTTGTATCAAATCAGGTTTTTAATTGTGACTAATAACACTGAATTTAAAGGCTAAATACTAAAAGTATGCGTCAAAAGATTTAAAACTTCTCACAAAGAGCTCTGTATCTTCAAATTGATTGCACATTTAGCACCAAAGTCAAGATGCATACAGATGTGCGGCCTTTAAAGCTTCAGCAGACATTAAGCAGTGGCCGATCTTATTTTTAAGGTTTAGCTCTGTTATAGTTATTACCTCTTAGGTGCCAAGGTGTAGCTTCACCTTAGCGAACTACCTCCAGACCTTACTGAGACGAGGTTGGTGAAGGCTTGGCTGAATGCTTTCTCCTCCACCTGCAGGCCTCTGGATTCGGAGCTTCAGGACTGGCACTGGGCTCTGGATGACGTGGATGACGTAGATTATGAACATACGTTTAATTTCTGAGGAGCATGTGTAGGGTTGAAACAGGGTAACTGCTTACATAGGGGCTCTGTTCCAAAACCTCCTAATCCACCCACTTTGGCAGCATTTAGATTATTTGCTGATGTATAATACACACTAAGGTAATACTTACAGTTAGTAATGTGATAACATAAATGTTATCAAATGCTAAATGTTATCCATTTTTATACAGTACATTATTATGTTGTGATGTCTAAATTCACTTGTAGCATATTTATTGAAACAAAATAGAATTTTAATATCAGACATTTATCAGTTTGGGGTCAGTAAGATTTTTGTTTAAATCTATTTGAAAGAAGTCTCTTATGCTCAACGAAGCTGCGTTTATTTAGTCAGAAATACAGTAAAAAACGTAATATTGTGAAATATAGATACAATTTAAAATAACTTTGTTTTTGTTTGAATATATTTTAAAGTGTAATGTATTCCTCTGATGGCAACGATGAATTTTCAACAGCCGTTACTCCAGTCTTCAATGTCACATGATTCTTCAGACATAAATAAATGTCTTGATGGTCACTTTTGTCAATGTAATGCTTTCTTGTAAAATAAAAGTATTAATCTCCTTAAAAAAAATCTTGCTGACCCTAGAACTTTGAACAGTAGTATATGTCTAAAATAATCTATAAACATTTTTAAATAAAATGCTAGAAGTATTAATGATCAATTTCAATTTATCAAAATGTATCAATAAAACCCGTTAAATCAAATTGAAAATGCTTTTTTTATCCAGTATTTGCATGTGTATTTTGTATGTGTAAATATTTTTATGCTCTCTGTGCTAACACTAAACTAGACTGCTCACTTGGTTTTGGAACAGAGTCATGGAGTGACTTTTTTGTTGTGTGCAGTTGGATTTGTTTGCCGTTGCAGCAAATTTAAGCATGTTTGAGTGTGTTAACTAGTTGTGTGAAAGATTTGGCCAAGATGGGATATGGAGAACTTACCATGACCCAGCAGAAGTTTCTATACCAATTCTCATGAACACCCTCTCTGCCCTCCAAACCCACAACAGGCACTCCTCAATGCAAAGCTGAACAGCTTCTCCAATCATTTCTCATTTACTATTGAAGGAGAGGAGGTTTGTTCAGAGAATTGGCATTTGGCCTGCTTGTGTTTCTTATTTGACCTTTGACCCTCTTGCCCTAGTCCCCCTCGACTGGACACGGCTTGATTAAAACCTTCTCTGGTCATGAATGCATCCCATAATGCTCTCCTGGGCACCTGTGCTGCTCACTCCCTAGTATGAATCGAATGTAATGATGGTATGATTAACACAGATCAACATCTAGATGTGAGCTGTGCAGGTGGGCAGGAGTTTCTAAAATGTTTCTAGATTTGAAATTGTGATCTGCAGTCAGTTTTTGGCCAGTCGTCTTAGGAATTTGATCGTCAGCTGTTAAAAGTTGAAATTTTGAGTCTCGTGCTACGATTTGAGCCAAAAACGGATTCATCTTCCAAGCACATAACTGAAATGTTCATAAGACTGTAGAATGTCTGAAAACCACATTTAAAGTATTTTGTAGATTTTTTATTTTTTTTTAAATTTTGGGATTTGAAGTGGTCTTAAGTTTTTTGTTTGTATCTTCAGCCTAGCAAACAGTGTGTATCTCTGGGTGTGCTGTGAATGCATATCCGTGTTCTTTTACACATTATATATATAAATATATGAATATACAGCGTATATTTGACCTGCCATCTTACCAGTTGGTTTGCTATTTATACAGGTCTGGGCACTTTTTTCATTTTAAAACGCTGCCTCCAGATTTGCATGTTTTATATTGATGTACTGTTTGACAATAAAATGAAAAGCATATGTAGCTGTGTTGTTTGGAAACTGTGTATAACATTTGCTTATTTTTGTAAACAAGTAGTCAGTTAAATAGGTATATAGCTGTGAATGTAGTAAAAGTAAAGTTTTAATATAAACAATGTGGTCATTCCTTTGTCTACTTCCATCACAGAAATAATATACATTCTTAATACACGTATGACGTGTATTGATCGTTATTGCGTTCAAAAAATGTCAAAGAATATTTTGGGTTAAAATACATCTTGCTTTTATTATCTGGGGTGTCCAGTTGATTACCACATAAGAACGATTCAGAAAAATGTATTTATAAAACATGATAGTTCTTTATACTATTGAATTCTGTAATATATATAAAAATAATCTAGACATTGTCACACATATTGATTTATAAAAGACAAATTAACAGATCTATTAACATACAGAAGAGACATTAGATGTGCTTTAGACCTAATAGTTCATTTCAAATCTTAATTTCATTTTCTAAGTAACACCTTTCTTGTACTAGAACAGCTGGAGTTCAGAAGAGTCGTATGGTTTATTGTTTTTGCGTTAATATTGCATTAATAACCATGCATTCAATATATCAGCATATAATACAGAACAATATACATGAAGCTCAATATAAAAATAGTGCATATGTTAACATCAACCCTTTATGAACTACAGTAAACAGTCTGTTCAGCAACCTGATCGTTAATCAGTTTGAACAGTTCTTTAGCTGAAAATTTGGTCAAAAAATATTTCCTTTCTGAGAAGAAAGAGTTACTAAGCTTCTTACAGTATAACAACTTAAAAAAACATACAGTATATCTGAACATGTACAAATGTAACAGGCAAGAAATTACCAGTGTTAGAATCAGTGAAGGATAGGAATGTTTGTACTGTTTCAAAACACTGTTTGGTAAGACTTCTGATATATCCTTCTTATGTCAAACACAATTCATCATTTGTGAGTTCGCAAAATTCATATCTGTTTTCCTTCATGGGAATATGAGATTTAAAGCAATTATACTGAAAAAAATGTATATATACTCTGTCCCACATCCCAATACATAATAGATGTGCATGTTCTGAAGAAAATACTAGCAAGGCAGCAAAATAAAAGTGTGGAAAATTTTAGCATCAAGCTGAACACAAGAATCAAAGCGTAAAAGCGGCTAAAATGGTCTGATAGATGCAAGGAAGACAAGACCAATTGCAATTCAGTATACAAATTAGGGCTGTTAAATCGATTAATCGCACCCAAAATAAAAGAACCCAAAACCTATGAAGAGTCTTGTTCTCTGGCAAGACGAGAATGGCCTGGAGTACCTGACCCTGGCGCATAACCCAGAAACAAAAAAACAAGGATCCCACTGCATCGGACAGAATTTTTTTTTTATGAGGATTTATGTTCGCGTGAACCAGTGACCCACTTTGTCCCATGGACAGTTAAAAAAACAAAAAACAAAGTGTCCATCTGATGCCGGAGCCTTCCAAGACAGCAACATAGTGTTGGCCCAGATCCGGCCCGGCGTCTATTCCACATGGGCCAGATGTGGGCTGGATATGGGCCAACACTATGTTGCTGGTTTTATCTGGATCCCAGGTGCATCCCTTTGTGTAAACTCGAGAACACTGAAGTGTGGTTCCCCAAGGAGTCGATGGGGTTCAACTACCTCGGCAATACACTAAAAAATATTTGTGAAGAGGTACCCAAGATATTTAATGGATATTCCATTTTTAATCATATGAATTCAAACTGTTTGTAGTTATGATATTTTCCAAATCTAAATTGCATAGGCCTACTTGAAATTTTTGTCTTTCAGGTGGAAGGTATCACACGTATTTACACAAACCATAGTTTGCGGAGCACTACAACAAGCAATAAAAAAAACAAAAAAAACAGACTGTGCTCAAACAGCCATCCTCCTCCAAGCCTAAACATGAAACAACCCTACCCTTTTCAGTGTCTAATTTCACGATCAATGGAAATGTGAAGTTCAACATCCATTAGCCTCGGTGGACTTATAAGGCTAATTTGAGTAGCCTAATAAAATAACAAAAACAAAAAGTAGCCTAAACTTTCCAATTATCAACTTTTTCTGTTTAGTTTTTATTGAATTCAATGTATTACATTAAATGTGATGTTAGCACTATTTCTGTGGAGAATTGAGGTAGGCTATAGCCTATATATTGTAGGCTAATTATTCATTCAAATAAAATGCATTCTTACCACCCAACTGTGTCTGCTTTAAAGCATTCAGGAGCACAGAAACTGTTGCGGCCTGTGGATTTTATTGATAAAATAATTGCTACATTATATTTCTCAGTAACAAAAGTTAAATCGCTGTTTTTGAAGTAACTAAACTCACAACTTCATTGAGACGCACAGATGCAGATAATTCACACACACAACTTTCATCTCTCTCTCTCGGTAATCAATTCAAATAAGTGCTATAATTCATTAAAATAAATGTGATCTTAGCGCTCTACTTTATCTCTGTGTCTAATTTTAAAGTAGGCAGAATGCTATGTCTACAGGTGTAACGGACTAAAATAACCGTCATTTTTACCCTTCCAAATATTGCACTGCAAACATCATTAACAGATTTAAGTTATAAGCAGGATAATGCATGGCTAGATGTGCACTAAACGATTTTAATACACAGCTAGCCGTGCATTATACAAACACATATTTCTTATATATACATATATATTTCTTAAATATATACATGTGTGTTTTTTTATTTTTATGTATACATATAAATATACACCGATATGTAAACACAAACTTTAATTTTGGATGTGATTAATCGCGATTAATCGATTTGACAGCCCTAAATATTATGTCATCACTGTATATATAGAGCACAACTAAGATTAAAATTTTCAACAAAAAAGTGCCTTGCAAGCACTGTAAATAAATCAAATGGGAAATCCAGAGCATTATGATAAGATTTTTGGTTGTACACAATTATCCAACGTCAGTAAATCTTAAATCTTTTAAATAGTAATACAGAAAGTGCTATATCCGAACAGCACCTGACCTGAATCTAGTTTAGTTCTTCTTCTTAAAAAAACTAAAAAAAACTCCACCAGCAGACAGAATACATTGAGATACACTGTATGAAGAATGTGGCATCCTCTTAATCCTGCTTCACTGCATGAGGTTTGTAGTAGATAACTGTAACTGTGACCCACATGTTCAGAATGGTCATGACGACAAACCGAATCCAAAGATGAGGCGAGAAGACTCCACCAACAGCCTTCTGAACAAATGAGTCCGTTTGATTACCGTGTTTACAAACTGTTTATCAAGAAGACATTTCAGCTGTACTGTAAAAGGAAAAACAAAATGAGAGAATGTGTATCAAAACAGTATTTTTATTTTTTGTTCCCTTTTGCAATAAAAGTTTGAGACCTGTTGTGTGTTTGCAGGTGTGTTAATCTGCTTCTCTTGAGCATGATGGCACGCTGTGGTGCTTTTTTTTTTAATGAACGAAGGATTTTTCTTTCCTCTTGGGTTAAAATGTGGTGAAACTAACTTTCTCTTTGTCTTTCTCTCATTCTTTAGTTAACCTTATATTGGGATTCTGGTGCTGCTACATGGTGATTTGGGGTTCTTCCTATCACATCAACAAAAGACCTTTGTTGTAACTTTTCGCACATTTTGGCAAATCCAAAAAAAGTGAGAGATGCACAAATATGGATGGAGGCTTTGCTGTCGTGATATGGCTTTTATTCTCTGGGCATACGGTTGCTTCGACTTCAAGAGCACAACAGATCTACACAGAACTGAAGGGTCAGCGTCACACCAAACTTTCATTATTCATTCGAGGCCAGAGTTGACCTGAACGCTAAGACTGAACCCTGCTGGACCGGCCAGAGAATGTGGACGACAGCTGGGTCTGACCGTAGTCTTGTTTTTGTTTTTTTTTGGTTGACTTTAATGGCTGAATATAGACAGTAGTGCAACACACCACATAAACGGCTAGAAAACACCACTACAAATGTTTCTCATTCCTTCATAAATGCAATGAAACTGTTGTTTCTTCTTGTAGTGAACTCCACTGTGTGATCAAAGCTTGATTAAACCTCCTCTGATCATGAATGCATCCCATAATGCTCTCCTGGACACCGGTGCTGCTCACTCCCTAGTGTGAGTCGAATGTAATCTGAGGGAGGAACCTTAATTAACGGGACATGATGGTATGATTAACAGAGATCAGCATCTAGATGCGAGCTTTGCATGTGGCAGGAGTTTCTAAAATGTTTCCAGCAGTCAGTTTTTGGCCGGTCATCTTATGAATTTGATCATCAGCTGTTAAAAGTTGAAATTTTGGGTCTCATGCTACGACTTGCGCCGAAAATGGATTCATTTTGCAAGTACATAACTGAAATGTTCATAAGACAGTGTCTGAATGTCTGAAAACCACATTTAAATTCACTAAGTATTTTGTAGATTTTTTTATTTTGTGATTTGAAGTGGTCATTGTTTTTTGTGTGTATCTTCACCCTAGCAAACAGTGTGTATCTCTGGGTGTGCTGTGAATGCATATCCGTGTTCTTTTACACGTTACATATATAAATATATGAATATACAGCGTATATTTGACCTGCCATCTTACCAGTTGGTTTGCTATTTATACAGGTCTGGGCACTTTTTTTATTTTAAAGCGCTGCCTCCAGATTTGCATGTTTTATATTGATGTACTGTTTGACCATAAAATGAAAAGCATATGTAGCCGTGTTGTTTGGAAACCCTGTATAACATTTGCTTATTTTTGTAAACAAAAGTAGTGAGTTAAATAGGTATATAGCTGTGTAGTAAAAGGAAGTAAAGTTTTAATATAAACAATGTGGTCGTACTTTTCTTTCTGCTTTAATCACAGGAATAACATACATTCTCAATACACATGGCAATCTGTACTGATAGTTATTGCACTCAAATGACACTTGATTATCTGGGGTGTTCAGTTGATTACCATAGAAGAATAATTCGGAAAATTAAATTTATAAAACATGATCGCTCTTTTTTTTTTTTTGTGTAATGTTATTGAATTCTGCAATTAAACAAATCCACACATTTTCGCACAAAAGAAATGTTTATTGATTTATAAAATACAAAAAGAACATCTATTAAAGTACTCGCAAAAGAAACATTAATTGTGCTTTAGATCTAAGTTATTGAAATCATTTTCTAAGTAATAATCTTCTTGTACTACACTCTTAAAAATAAAGGTGCTTCAAAAGGTTCTTCAAGTGATGCCATAGAAGAACCGTTTTTGGTTCCACAAAGAACCATTCAGTCAAAGGCTCTTTAAAGAACCATCTCTTTCTTGCGTTTTTGTAATCTGAAGAACCTTATTTCGCCACAAAGAACCTTTTGTGAAACAAAAAGGTTCTTCATATGTTAAAGGTTCTTTATGGAACCATTTAGACAAAAAGGTTCTTCTATGGCATCGTGAAGCACCTTTATTTTTAAGAGTGTAGAACATTAGAGAGTTCAGAAGAGTCCTATGGTTTATTGGTTTTGTATTAATAATTACCATGTGTTCATTATATCGCCATAAAATACAGATCAATATAGATGAAGCTCAATATAAAAATAGTGCATATGTTAACATCAACCCTTTATGAACTACAGTAAACAGTCTGTTCAGCAACCTGATCGTTAATCAGTTTGAACAGTTCTTTAGCTGAAAATTTGGTCAAAAAATATTTCCTTTCTGAGAAGAAAGAGAGTTACTAAACTTCTTACAGTATAACAACTTAAAAAAACATACAGTATATCTGAACATGTACAAATGTAACAGGCAAGAAATTACCAGTGTTAGAATCAGTGAAGGATAGGAATGTTTGTACTGTTTCAAAACACTGTTTGGTAAGACTTCTGATATATCCTTCTTATGTCAAACACAATTCATCATTTGTGAGTTCGCAAAATTCATATCTGTTTTCCTTCATGGGAATATGAGATTTAAAGCAATTATACTGAAAAAAATGTATATATACTCTGTCCCACATCCCAATACATAATAGATGTGCATGTTCTGAAGAAAATACTAGCAAGGCAGCAAAATAAAAGTGTGGAAAATTTTAGCATCAAGCTGAACACAAGAATCAAAGCGTAAAAGCGGCTAAAATGGTCTGATAGATGCAAGGAAGACAAGACCAATTGCAATTCAGTATACAAATTAGGGCTGTTAAATCGATTAATCGCACCCAAAATAAAAGAACCCAAAACCTATGAAGAGTCTTGTTCTCTGGCAAGACAAGAATGGCCTGGAGTACCTGACCCTGGCGCATAACCCAGAAACAAAAAAACAAGGATCCCACTGCATCGGACAGAACTTTTTTTTTATGAGGATTTATGTTCGCGTGAACCGGTGACCCACTTTGTCCCATGGACAGTTAAAAAAACAAAAAACAAAGTGTCCATCTGATGCCGGAGCCTTCCAAGACAGCAACATAGTGTTGGCCCAGATCCGGCCCGGCGTCTATTCCACATGGGCCAGATGTGGGCTGGATATGGGCCAACACTATGTTGCTGGTTTTATCTGGATCCCAGGTGCATCCCTTTGTGTAAACTCGAGAACACTGAAGTGTGGTTCCCCAAGGAGTCGATGGGGTTCAACTACCTCGGCAATACACTAAAAAATATTTGTGAAGAGGTACCCAAGATATTTAATGGATATTCCATTTTTAATCATATGAATTCAAACTGTTTGTAGTTATGATATTTTCCAAATCTAAATTGCATAGGCCTACTTGAAATTTTTGTCTTTCAGGTGGAAGGTATCACACGTATTTACACAAACCATAGTTTGCGGAGCACTACAACAAGCAATAAAAAAAACAAAAAAAACAGACTGTGCTCAAACAGCCATCCTCCTCCAAGCCTAAACATGAAACAACCCTACCCTTTTCAGTGTCTAATTTCACGATCAATGGAAATGTGAAGTTCAACATCCATTAGCCTCGGTGGACTTATAAGGCTAATTTGAGTAGCCTAATAAAATAACAAAAACAAAAAGTAGCCTAAACTTTCCAATTATCAACTTTTTCTGTTTAGTTTTTATTGAATTCAATGTATTACATTAAATGTGATGTTAGCACTATTTCTGTGGAGAATTGAGGTAGGCTATAGCCTATATATTGTAGGCTAATTATTCATTCAAATAAAATGCATTCTTACCACCCAACTGTGTCTGCTTTAAAGCATTCAGGAGCACAGAAACTGTTGCGGCCTGTGGATTTTATTGATAAAATAATTGCTACATTATATTTCTCAGTAACAAAAGTTAAATCGCTGTTTTTGAAGTAACTAAACTCACAACTTCATTGAGACGCACAGATGCAGATAATTCACACACACAACTTTCATCTCTCTCTCTCGGTAATCAATTCAAATAAGTGCTATAATTCATTAAAATAAATGTGATCTCAGCGCTCTACTTTATCTCTGTGTCTAATTTTAAAGTAGGCAGAATGCTATGTCTACAGGTGTAACGGACTAAAATAACCGTCATTTTTACCCTTCCAAATATTGCACTGCAAACATCATTAACAGATTTAAGTTATAAGCAGGATAATGCATGGCTAGATGTGCACTAAACGATTTTAATACACAGCTAGCCGTGCATTATACAAACACATATTTCTTATATATACATATATATTTCTTAAATATATACATGTGTGTTTTTTTATTTTTATGTATACATATAAATATACACCGATATGTAAACACAAACTTTAATTTTGGATGTGATTAATCGCGATTAATCGATTTGACAGCCCTAAATATTATGTCATCACTGTATATATAGAGCACAACTAAGATTCAAATTTTCAACAAAAAAGTGCCTTGCAAGCACTGTAAATAAATCAAATGGGAAATCCAGAGCATTATGATAAGATTTTTGGTTGTACACAATTATCCAACGTCAGTAAATCTTAAATCTTTTAAATAGTAATACAGAAAGTGCTATATCCGAACAGCACCTGACCTGAATCTAGTTTAGTTCTTCTTCTTAAAAAAACTAAAAAAAACTCCACCAGCAGACAGAATACATTGAGATACACTGTATGAAGAATGTGGCATCCTCTTAATCCTGCTTCACTGCATGAGGTTTGTAGTAGATAACTGTAACTGTGACCCACATGTTCAGAATGGTCATGACGACAAACCGAATGAGAACTGGAGTAGAAAGAAACGAAAGATAAAGATGGCATCTCAACCAAACAATTAACACTTCAAATCAATTCACATCCCATCAGGAAGCTCTTACTGACCTTGTGTGTCTCCTGTGGTGATGACGGTGGTGAAGATCCTCGCTGACAAACAGAAAACACTCAATATCAGTATAACAAACTGGAGAAGTGCTTAGTTTTCCTTTTGTGTCACTTACCCAGGCATGTATATGTGGCCAGAGCCCAGGTGAGAGTGCTGACCTGCCGAGAGTCCTTTGAGCGCCACAGACACTGAAGCTGTGCCAGTTTACTGCTGGCACTAATGAAAGTGCACAAGCTCTGAGAGACAATGGCAAAAAAAAGAAACTCTTATTACCATTCAAAAGTTTGTGGTCAACAAGACTTTTTTTTTCTCAAGAAATTGCTATACCTTTAAACTGAATCTATTACATTCAAAATAAGATGAACTAAGCGTAAATATGACACTAATGCAAATGCATTTGGATCAGTAGTGGCATGTTCTCACCATGGCCAGATCAATCACCCACTTCTGTACTGTGAGCAGCTGCCATCCACCCACAAACCTGATTCTTACAGTAAAAGAAATGAAATATTTTTATTCATTAAATATTGTTTTATTTTAAATTGGGCAGGTTTTAATTGTTATTGGGATATTATTTCTGACTCTGTGCCCAGATGAATAGCATAACCTGACAACATGGGTTTGAAGGATACAGTGCTGCATATACGAGGCTGTGTTTCAGGTTCCTGTTATAGTGCAGGATTAACAGGAGCACAATGACATCTGTGGACACACACGATTGAAATTACAAATGAGACTGGTATTTAAGCATCAGAATCTGGTCTGTCAGCTGTGCTCACCTTGTGCAATGAGGATGGGATACTCCAGGTATGTGAGCGGTGGGTAGTCATAATACATCTGATAGGACATGAACACTATAAACCTGCACACACACACACAGAAGAACTAAGCTGGACACTTTTTGGCCATCCATAAAAACATACATTTGATATTTAACACTAGGGTCTGCCAATTATTATTTGATCTCTAAAATCTGATCTACATCTAAAATCTTGGCAGTCGTGGCCTAATGGTTAGAGAGTCAGACTTGTACGCCAAAGGTCGCGGATTTGAGTCTCGGTACCGGCAGGGAATGTCGGTGGGGGGAGTGAATAACCCACGCTCTCTTCCACCTTCAATACTAGACTGAGGTGAGACCCTTGAGCAAGGCACCGAACACTCAACTGCTCCACAGGTGCCGCAGCACACTACTCTATGTGTGTGTTCACGGTGTGTGTCCACTGCTGTGTGTGTGCACTTGGATGGGTTAAATGCAGACACCATACTTGGCTACAAGTCACGTCACTTTCACTGATAATAAATCCTTTCATATGGCATTATGACAATACACCAGGTTTTCAGGCCACTGTTATTTTAGTATAAGTGATATACTGTTGTAGTATTTGTTAATATTTTGAATTTGATTTGATTTTTATATTTTATGTTTTCACTATAATTGTTAAAGTTTTAGTAATTTAGTTGTTTTTGTTATTTTTATTAGTTTATTTAAAAGTATGTCTACATGTCTCTTTAATCATTTTTATTTATTAGTTTTAATCTGTGTAGATTGGATTATTTTAGTACTTAAAGATAAATAAAATATAATTAAGTTATTAATATATGTTTATTTTGTTTCAAGTAAAGAAAGTGTTTTTATGGCTTTAGTTTAAGTTTTAATTACTGATAATAACCCCGTTTCAGTGTTCTGTCATTGTGATTTCAATGCCTGAAAAATGTAAAGGAAATTAATATAAATGTTAAAAAATTAAGTCATAAAATCTTTAAAAATCATGAAAATTCATACAAATGTAAAATGTCATGAAATTAAATGTTTTTTAATTAATTAAGGTTACTGAAATTTAATTTTTTTTTAAAAACTAATAAAAGTGACAAAAACACAAAATTACTAAAGCTTTCACAATTATAGTGCGTGGATTACTATATGCAGAAATATGTGTAGAACAGAGTTCTTTTTTTTCTTACAATCCAGTGATCCCTGCCATAAAAGTCATGGTTTGGGGAAACACTGCTTTATACAGAATGTGACAGTGGGTCTCTCTGTACATCAGGGGGTCCCTGGAAAGCAAAAGTTGAAGACCCCCCCAGCCATTGTTTACACTAAAGCCTATAGTGCACTAATGTACATACACTTTTCATATGTTACTAGAACATCCATATATTTGTATCACAGCTGGATGTCTTCGTACAGCCTTTCATGCAACAGATATATTTCAGTCAGTCAGTGTCGGTGTGAAGCTCTTACCCGAGCAGCTCGAGCAGCAGACTGTTCAGACTGACACCAGCGCTCGCTCTGGCCCGCATCAGCACGAATATCTGCGGGAACTTCAGCACCATACACACGAACAGAGTGCTGAAGTTCGCCAATTGCAGCGTCAAATTGCCGTCCATCTCTATTAATGCCCCCTCTATGATCCGCTTGTGGGATCCTGGCACGAAGCGGCTCCAGCTGTTACTAGCTGAATTAGCGATCCTTCCGCACACATCCCATCAGCGCGCGAGATTTGACCCTCCGCAGCGCCTGTAGCTCACAATGAGTCTCATCCATCTTTGACGCCAACAGATCATCAGAGAACAGAATGTCGTTATTGTTATTACCTTCGATTCAGCTGAATAACTAGGTCATCCGCAACAAATATGGTGACAGATATTCAGTCATGAAAAAGATATTCAGTAATGAAAAAGATAGAATGTTCAATAATTCACATTTAGAAAGCAAAATTACAGAACCAAACATACTATTAAGCAATAAAACGTTTGACTTTTATGATTTTAATTTGCCAGTTGCCTGAAAATGCCTTGCTTTTTACCCCTTTATCTGGTAAACCATAACATTCATTATATAACATTCTATCTATCTATCTATCTATCTATCTATCTATCTATCTATCTATCTATCTTCTATCTATCTATCTATCTATCTATTTATTCTCACTCTGTTTCTATTCTCACTCTGTTTCCCCAAGTTTTTATGATTTTAGTTGCCTGGTTGCCTGAAAATGCCTTGCTTTTTACCCCTTTATCTGGTAAACCATAACATTCATTATATAACATTCTATCTATCTATCTATCTATCTATCTATCTATCTATCTATCTATCTATCTATCTATCTATCTATCTATCTATCTATCTATCTATCTATCTATTTATTCTCACTCTGTTTCCCCAAGTTTAGTAGTGCAAGATCTAACCTGTGCAATAAATAAAGAAATAAAATAAAGAAATAGGCTAATATAAAGATCTTTTTAAAATTAATATGTTATCAGTCTTTAAAAATATAATTTGTAAAAAGTGTAAGAACTTCTCGGGTTCAAATGTGAACACTACCTCATTACATTGAAAAAGTTATTAATTTGCATATAAATTTCACCCCCTCCCCAACCCCCACACGCACACAATTTACATTGTGTTGCATCAAAAATGTTGACTTAATCAAAAATGTTTTTAAATGAGTTGTTTCAGTTCATACTTGCATGAAATATTATTATTGGATCAAAACAAATTATTAGTATAATTTATTGATTTTAGTCTCCATATAGGTTTTGAGACGCTTTTGTTGCACCAGTTAATAAGTCTATCAATTTTTAAATCAATTTAGAAAGTCAACATTTTTTGAAAATGACCCAACTGTAAATCAATAAATAAGCAATCAAAACAAAAACAAAAGAGCACTCTTGGAGAACTGAGATTTGGAGTGTGCCTCTATTTATTTGTTTTTAATAAGCAATTCACTGGGTTAAACAAATACTGTTACAACACAAAAATTATACATTTTAAAGCAACAAGTTTTATAACAACTTCATAATCAAAAGACAAGTTTATCTTTTTTCTGTTATTCTTGCCGTTTCCTTCTTTCATTTAGAAGAAAAACAAACAAACAAAAACAGACATATTTTTCATTGAGAAGCTTTGCTGCCTCTTGCTACCCTGTTCAAAGAACCATCTCTCTTGCTTTGTATTAATTCAAAGGCTTGCCAGTAATAAATAATACTATAAAATGTTCTGCAAGTACACAAAAAAGATTGAGAAACAACAACAAGGGTAAATGTACAAGGTTTTGTGTGAAAGGGGTGGGATGGGTGAGGGGTGGGCAAATTTACAGACAGGACAGACGAAGCATCTATACATCCATACTAGCCAGATAACAAAGTTGATTTTATTATTCGTGTTGTGTGTGTGTGTGTGTGTGTGTGTATTGTTTTTTATTATTTTTTTTATTTTTTACAAAGTGGGTTTAGCTTTTTTTAAACAAGCAGGCATTGATAATTACAGAGCACAAAGAATTAAGGCAGCTCAAATGTTCGCCTCAAAAAACGTTTAACATTAGATTCTTAAAAACTGCAGTTTGCTCTTGTTATTTTACACAGACATAGCGCCTCTCACACAGAGTGCAGAAATAAGAATTTGTTGTTGCATAATTCCGGATGTTGACAAAGCCATCCTCTTAATACCGCCCACAGGAATGATGGGAAAAAACATTTCTTCCATGGCTACAGGATATTACAGACCCCTTTGTCACACAGATGTTGAAAACTCACATCTAAGCTGCCTCTCGCTTTTCCAGTTCTCTTGATTTAGCATCATTACAGTAGAGCTGACGTTGCTGTGATTGTTGTTTAGTTTGAGTTGTATAACACTGCTCGATGAGGGATGCACTGATTGATTGGTTTTGCTGGTATTTGAGTTGGGGTGTATGGGTTTCTGCGTCTCCATCTTGTTTCTGTGCATGTGGCTGATCTTTGACCACAGCAGTGCTCATGTTCCCCCCGTCTGATTAAACAGAAGCCCTCCAAACATTCAGACTGACTAACTGTGGTGAACGAAAAAGCCAAGTGCTCTTTTTGTACCCAGCTTCAGGGCTGAACGACAGTTTGGCCACTAAAACAGGCGCCTCTCTAGTAGATCCTTTGAAATGCTCTTGGATTACAGTATTGCACTCAAGGTCTATGGTTTTTTATTTCAGTTCATTTTAACTGCTTGTGTTTCTCATCTGTCCTTCTTTGAGCTTGCTGACAGAACACACTTCACTTCCCTCTAGTGGACCAATGTTGCCATGTTCTTGTATTATAAGCAACTTTGGTCTTTTTTTATGAAGTTGCTTGTAAATATGGGTTGCATTGTTTTGGGATTATGTCCAAAATTAAGTCATTTATTTATTTTCCCCCAACAACATGAAATTGTGACCCGACCACTAGCAGCAGTTAAATATCCCAAACTTTTTGCATATTTTTCATATAAAAATAGCATATTTTTAGACTTACACTATATTCAAAAGTTTGAGGTCAGTACGTTTTTTAAATACATTTTATTAAACAAGAATGCATTAAATTTGTCTTAAGTGTAAGTAATAACATTTAAAACATTACAAAAGATTTGAATTTCAAATAAAATCTGTTCTTTTGGATTTTCCTTTCATCAAAGGATCCTGAAAAAAAAATCTACAAAAATATTAGCAGCAACTGTTTTCAACATTCACAATAAGGAATCGTTCTTGAGCACCAAATCAAAATATTAGAATGATTTCTGAAGGATTATGTGACATTGAAGACTGGAGAAATATTTGCTGAAAATTCAGCTTTGTCAATTCATGGCCTTTTCACAGGAATATCATACGTTTTAAACTATATTTAAAACAATTTAAATTGTAATAACATTTCACAACATTACTGTTTTTACTGTATTTTTTACGGTGTCCTACTGACCCCAAACTTTAGAACGGTGGTGTATTTTGGTAAGACAAATCACTTATTTTGGGCTTGTTTGGGGAAAGTTGTTTTCTTTTTTAGAAAGATCTGGCAACCCTGTAATGGATACGCTAGATATTTCTCACTTTAGAAACTCAGGATCACCATCACGCCATTTAGAAAGCACTGGACAGCAAATCAGATATAACCTTTCACAAATTTCAAAAGTTTACTGGAACTTTATGAGAGAAATTATACTGTTTTGTGGCCACTTGTAATAGTTAACACAGTTTTACAGTGTTTACCGAAAGTGCAATAACTATCTCTCCCATACAATGTACACATACACACAGTGTCTCTCTGTTGTTGTCAAGGACAGCTTCAACTGTTATGCCCCCCCCATACACACAAACGTACGCTTTTGCTGGTGTCATTGTCTTGTCTGCGTAGGACCGCAGACACTACAACAGTGTTGGGTTTCAGGGCTATATCTGTTCCAGCCCAGTCTGTGCTGCTCCAGTTACAATAGCAAGGTCACACACGCACATACACACAGGGAAGTGAAAAAAAATCATATTTCATGTCTGTGAGATAAGCATTAATGGGTGTTTGGGTGGTGTGTGCAGCTATACGAAGAGTGATTTCAGTACGACGTGACCTTAAATTGTCCTTCATACACCCTGTTAATCAACATAAACAGCTGTAACTGCTTCTTTTAAGAGCACATCATTATAGAGAAAGTAAGTTTGAAAATGGGAATAAAATTGTATATATCAGAGAGAATAATTTAATCAGTTTTTTTCTGGACATCTGGATATCAGAGTAAAAAAAGGGTAATTGTGACTCTTATGCTTCCCAATTTCAATTTTAAATCTCATACTGTGACTATATTTCACCATTTCAGCTTTAATTTTGCTAAACTTTTACTCTATGTCTTACAAAGTAGACTTTATTTCTTGCATTTGAGACATTTTTCATAATTGCAGCTTTGTCTTGCATGGAGACTTTGTATCTCACAGCGTAACTATATCGTGCACTTGCGAATACTTCTCGTAATTGCAACTTTATTTCCTGTAATTGTGACTTTATATCTCACAGTGTGACTTATGTTCTTATTTTAAACTTTATCTCACAATTACATTTGTTAATTTTTACTCTGAGGTGGAAAAAGGCTTCAATAGGTAGAGTTCACTATGGCATATTTGAAATACTAACTTAGTAAATAATTACTTAGAGAATAAGTGAAAACAAATAAGAAGGGAGAAGTAAAAGGGCTGAGTATGAAAGAGGAGGAGGAGGAGGAGGAGGAGAGAGGGAAAAATCAAGGAAATTTGAGTCAATAATGAGAGCGATATATGATGCTGTTGCTGACTCCTCATGACAAATCCAGACATGTAATGTACGTTTGGTTGTGCTGCACAGACAGTATCAAGATTCTGAGATTCACTGTTTCTCCCATAAACACACACACACACACACACACACACACATGTCTGGTTTACGATCTTTGTGGGGACTGAGAGTGTACATTGAGTGTCTGTGTTTATGCTTCTCTGACATTTTACCCTTTTATCAATCTCCTCTCTGTAACACCTCCATCCAGACGGAGGGTCAGCCAGCCGTATCAGCACTGACAAAATAAATCTGACACAGGAATGTGTGTGTTTAAATCTGACACTGGAATGAATGAGACTCCGCCACACACAAACCCTAGAGAGAAATCCAGTCCTTACTCTAACCAGTCACAATTAGACCTCTGAGCCTACTCTTAAAAAATATACGACTGTGAAACTGAATCCTGCAGCAAAAAGTACAGAGGGATAGG